ATTTTAGAGGTACAAAGTTCTAAATCAATTAAGCAGGAAAAGTACTGAGTTTCAGTATGAGCATAAAGACATAAAAAACAAGTTTGAGCTTAACTTTTCATTTTTGTGTTTGTGAAAAATAGACATTTGCATATCTGTGTGTGATTGTGTGCTTACATGCATGCATTTTTTATATATCAGGTAATATCAATAATTTCTCAGGTGCATAGAACAAAAAGAAGTATAATCAATCAGGTAGTCGAAATTGTCCACACACTGGAAACATGCAATCAGAACAAATTTGCACTGAAAAAAGCATGGGCTGAAACATCTGCTCTTTGTTCTGTTTTTAAGACACCTTGCACTTTTGTCCCTTTTTCACTTGTGCATATGAAAAATAAAAGAGATATTTTTGATAAACCTTTTTTGGTCTGATTGCATGTTTCCAGTGTGCGGACAATTTCAGCTACCTGGTTGCATTTTTCATATATAAATTATATAAACAGATGCAATAGATTAGCAAATATGTAGCTTTATATTTTTATTTATTTATTTATTTATTCACTGGCAATTTATATAATTATATAAATGTTTTGTTCTTTATTTATTTTACACCTTATTTTATTGGCCTTTGTGTGGCATGATTCTTCCAGTTTTATTCAATCATTTTTCCTCCAAAAGTGGCTTGTGGACTTCCTTTTTATCTGTTTTTTTCCCCTTTCTGATTTTATTTGATGAATTTAGATGGTCTATCCTTATCTGCAAAACTGTAGTTCTCTGAAGACCAGGAGTATGTTGTGACTTCCTGAAAAGCATCAAGTGTTTGTTAGAGTGGAGTATGCTTGATGCCCAACCAATTCAGGAGCAATTAAATCTTCTGAATTTCAGATGTAGCATGCAGGTATCATATTATTTTTAGAAAACAGAAATTATGAACACCACAAACTGATTTCCCCACATCACTGTCACAGTTGAATTCAAATAAATTTCTCATTTGTGATATTTCCTGTTCAGTGTGTTGTAGTGGTGCTGCAGTGTGTCTAACGGATTTCCAGTTGACTGGCGTGTTACGACATGCGTATGTATCAGGTCAGTCTAAGGTAACTGGTTTCCTGGGAAACGTTATTGTTTGTGGGCTTAATTAATGAGAAATATTGGATGGCGACTTTAGCACAGCTGGAGTTGCTCTCTTTCTACCTCGTTAACCTTTTCTTGCTCTCACTCCATCACCTCCATCCCCCACTTCCTCTCTCTTCATTACATGTTCATCTGGCCGTGCGACTCGGCTTCGTGTGTGCAGCTGATACGGCAGATTGACCAAGACAGGTGTTTTCCGTTTCATCTTGGCCTGTGTCTGAGGTTCGGGCAGTTGGAGGAACGGAAAAGTGAAAGGAGGGGGAAGATAGTCGCAGGGCTGGCAGTTCATCGTCTGCATGTGGCAGAAGCCTAACAGACTTCCTGACATCCTATCGATATATTGACAGCCGCTGTCACTCGGGCGGCTTTAGTGATTTGCAGAGCTCTGGCACATGAGGCTGATGGCCTGGCTTCGATTGGTTATGTGTCTTTCCGCGCCGTCTTAAAACCAACAACATTTCGGTCAGGTCGTTTTGATGGCAGTGTGGACACTCGCTTTGCCAATATTTGTGCCAGCGCTCGCTATTAGGTTAAAATGGCCATTTTCATCTCAGAATATCCCCCAGCGTTTCATGTTTTAACTGGCCTAGTGTATCTCTTTTGTCTGTTTGTTCCCTGCGGTAGATTTAGCCATTGATTTCCCAGTAAATCTTGCGCATCGAGGTCTGGATTACTTATGCTTCAAGTTTAGATAAGTCTGAACATCCAGTTCCCTTTCAGTCGGTCACTCTCGACGTCACGTCGGAGGATGCTGCCTACTTATACTCACGCTGTGATCAGCAGCAGCTGGATGCAATAATCGCATGCCAATTTGCATTGGCTCGTTTAGTTTACACTCGAAGTAGATTGGTCCCTCTAAGCGAGATCCCAATTTCGTCGGTCCTCCGACGTGACGTCTCCGTTCCCTCCTTCAGGGAACGAGGGTTACATATGTAACCGAGACGTTCCTTTGTTCTCCATCTTTTTCCAACCGATAGGTATTGCTCCACATAAATTACTACTTAACAAGCCCAGATTGTTTTGTGTCTGTTTTGGCCGCCAGTGAAAGTTTGAGCTGAAATGCTTGTTTCTCTTTTTCTTCTCCTTTTCAATCAGAGAGGACATTGCATTTTTGAAACATCACAGTATTAGTGAGTATTTAAAAACATTAAGAAAAGTAATTTTCTTTAACCTTATATATTATATACACTACCATAAGATTTTTTTTTAATGATTTTGAAAAAAGTCCCTTATGCTCATTATGCAAGGCTGCATTTATTTGATAAAAAAAAATGATTTTTTTTTAATGTAATATATTTTGAATGTACATTTATTCCAGTGATGGCAAAGCTGAATCTTCAGCATCATTACTCCTGACTTCAGTGTCACATGATCTTTCAGAAATCATTCTGATATGCTGCTCAAGAAAAAAAAACATTTATTTAATTATCCAAGGTGAAAACAGTTGTGCTGCTTAATATTTATATGGAAACCATGATACATTGTTTTTTAGGATTCTTTAATGAATATACTGTAAAGTTCAAAAGAGCAGCATTTGAAATGTTTGAATATTTGAAATGGGAATCTTTTGTAACATTATAAATGTCTTTTATTGTCACTTTTGATCAAATTAATGCATCCTTGCTAATTTAAAGTATCTATTACTTAAAAAAAAATCTTGCTGACCCCAAACTTTTGAACAGTGCTGTAGTGTATATATACATGCACAAATAGTTCCTTTTGAATCAAATTTCTCTCTAGATAGGCAGTTCACTACAGTAATTTTTTTGGAACAGAGCCTCTCCCAAACAGAGAAAGTATATCGGTTTTTGTTCTCCATGTTTTCATTCACCCTGCTCTTTGTTCTGAGAGGAAGCGAGAGAAGAAGGCTTTTAGCCAGCGACGTCATGGTCTGAGGAAGCTTATCCCAAGAAAGTCTGTCTGGCTGTAGAGTCAGCCGCGGAGAGCAGACCCTAAATTTCCATTGACATTTACAGAAGGGCTGCTTCCAATTAACCTTCAAGAATCTCTTCACCTCTTCGTGCTGATTACATTTTCCCTAACAAACAGGCTAATTTGTTATTAGCAGGCTGTTGGAGCACTTGCGTTCATTTTCATCAATAGGAAATTGCGATGGGGAGTGATTGCTTGGATTTCTTTCTGTCAGTTGGCATGCATTGTTCGATTTTCCCCTCTGTTCATCTGCTTTTGTTACCAGTAGCACCACTGGGTTCAGTTGATATGGACCGCTGCTGCTGTACACCTAAAATATACTCCCACTCAGACACACTTCCTCTTTCCCCAACTCTCCCAGCCCTGATATTCAGCTCCGGAGGGAGACAATTGTTTTCCACCTGCGATTCCACTCCTCTGAAAACACTCCCGCTCAAACACATACACACGGAACATGCAGATGTTTAGTGTGGCGTACAGGGAGATTGCTCCCATGGGCAGGAAGGCACAGCAGGGATGCTTTCGCACAGTTCTGCCAGGCGAGAGAAAGTAAAACAGAGAGGGAAAGTTAAAAAAAAGCAGGGGGGAGGGGAGTGTATACTCAGCCTGCCTTGTGCTGGCCTGATAACGCTCCCCTTCTCTCCTCGCCGCAGGCCTGTGGAGGAGGGCACAGAGGCCCCTGCCTTCAGCCAACCCACCCAGGAATCTTATCTTTCCTGCAGCCTGTGCTGCTGCCTGAAACCCCATCAGACCCTGAGACTTGGTCACTCAGCACACACATATATACAGGTGTGCAGATGGCCGCGTGTGCTGCAGATGCATACCAAATCGCTTGGTCAGAAAGACAAAAACAAGACTCTTAACACGTTCAGCAGCCAACAGTATACAGAACTAATATTCCAAGGTTTTGTGCCATTCAGATTTGAATTATGAATACCATTTAATTTTCTGTTTAGTTTCAAGGTGCAGAATTACAACTAGAATTAATAATAAAATGAATGAATTCAAATAAATAAATCATATAACATATAAAATGTATATGTGTATATATATATATATATATTTAACTAGAAACTTTTTTTTTTTTAAAGCAAGCTTTGCTTTGACAAAACCTTGTTTGAAAGTTTGTGAAATATCTGGATAGACAGAACAACAGATAGTTAGATTAAAGGACAGAAAGATAGACAGATAGAGATGCATATAAATTATAACTTATAACTTCATATAACTTATATTCATAACTTATAAGTTAATTAGAAATGTCAAACTTTCAAATGGCTTTTTAAGACAAACTGAGTATTGTATATAGTATATTATATAATATTTAAAACTAGATGATAGATAGATAGATAGATAGATAGATAGATAGATAGATAGATAGATAGATAGATAGATAGATAGATATAGATAGAACAATATAGATAGAAAGAATGACAGGTACAGTAGATAAAACAATATAGATAGAACGACAGATATATAGAACGATATAGAGAATGGCAGATAGAATGGTAGATAGATGGAGACAATGACAGATAGAGAGAACGATAGATCATCTTTGAGATGCCATCTATAGAATTTTATATATGTTTCATCATTTTTAATTATTTATAAATAAATTTTTGTGGATCAAGTTGGAACACTTCATTTCCCAGAATGCATTGCATGTGTAGATTTTATTTTTTAACTGCATTTCAGTAAATTCCTCTTCCTGTCATTCCAATTCAGATTCCATTTAAACTTCCTGTAGGGTATGGCCAATTCAGTTCGAATTCATAAACTGAAATTTAGCCAACTCTTCAAATCTGAATTTTGCACAACCGTTTTATAATCATAGTAGACTGCAAACTAAGTAACCCTAGGGGTTGACATCTTTGCATGTGTGTGACAGCCGTGAGTTTATCAGTGGCGCTTTTTCTCCTGATGGTTCAGTGGGGCATCTGTCATGCTGTGAGCCAGGTGACTCCTGCCTGCTTCCCTACTCTCTGGAAATGCGTATTGACATCTCGCTTTGCTTATAAACTGTGTCTTGACAAGGCAAGGGAATCCGAGCCATAGGGAACAGAATGCAGCTGTGTGGTTTTAGGAAACTGGGTTTTTGGAATTTGGAAGCCTAGTCATACAAAGCCTTCTTTTTAATCATTCCTGTCTTGTACTCATGATGATTCTAATAGATTACAAGGAAAAAATAAGATGGACCTTCAGAAACAGCAGGTTGTCAATGGCTAAGTGCTTGTTGTTTTTGTTTGAGTCTCTTAGGCCTATTTAAATTGCTTATTCTGCTTAAAGGCTAAAGAGCTACTGTAGCTCAATTGATTGCAAGCAGTGCCAAGGTTATGCTATATATTAACATAAAGCATGTATACTAATAAAATGTATGCCTAGAAAAGTGTCTGTCAAATACAAAATAAGAGACATAAGGATGGTAGAGATTCACATATTGGAATGAGATGCTGTGAGCCACATTGACTCTAGCCTTGTTTACACCTGTATTAGTATCTGTCTCAGGTGATTCGTTCATGATTGCTCAATCAAAACCAATTGCTGTTTACGCCTGGTATTAACATGCATCTCTAGTGTCCACTTGTGATTGGATTCCATTAAGGGGGATTTCTAATTTCATGATAAATCAGTTGATGTGTCATTGTGTTAGCTGCAGTTTTGTATCAAGCTTTGTGAAAATGTGCATTTATATATGACCTGCTTCAACATTTTTAGTCACTCTGAACCTGAAACATATTTGAGTTCTGTGCACTGAAGTTAAAAGGAAAGTTTTTGATTCTAATGATAATTGCGATGTTTCTATGGACACCAAACCATGGAGGTATAGCTGCTTAAACACTAGCTGAGACTTTTCTTTTTAGTGCATAAAACTCTAAATGTGAGTAAGTGAGATATATATTGGAAATTGTCCAGTTTTTTTGTTTGGATAGTCTAGATAGACTATATATTCACATAGGTGTTAACATCCATCTCCAGTAGCCAAGTAACCATCGACAGTAACCAAGTCGTGGCCTAATGGTTAGAGCGTCGGACTCGTAACCCAAAGGTTCACAGTGTGTGTGTGTTCACTGCTGTGTGTGTGTGCGGATAAATGCAGCGCATTAATTCCTAGTATGGGTCACCATACTTGGCCACATGTCACTTTCACTAGTTTTGGCAAAAAGATTGCGTGTTAGGTAGATAGTCCTTTAGATATTTTAGATGCATCAGGATTCTTCCAAAACTGGATTGGATCACGAGGCACTTTGGACCGTGCATAGCACTGTTTACTTCTGATTGGATTACTGGAGATGGATGTTGACACCTATGTGAATATATATTAAAATGTCATAAATTCCTGAAGGTAAAGCTGAATTTTCAGCAGCCATCACTCCAGTTTTCAGTGTCACATGATCCTTCAGAAATAATTCTGATATGCTGATCTGGTGCTCAAGAAACATTTCTTATTATTATTGTCAGTGTTGAAAACAGTTGTGCTGCTTATTATTTTAGTGGAATCCGATGCATTTTTTTTTTTGTAACTTTAGAAAAATCTTTACTATCACTTTTGATCAAGTTTATGCATATTTGCTGAGTAAAACAATGAATTTCTTAAAAAAAATGGACCCCAAACTTTTGAGTGGATTTCAGATTCAAAATGTCAGATTCAATCAGATTTACAGCCTTATTTAGTCTATTAATTTGAATCAAGCTCAAATGAGTCATGTTTTACTTTATATGATGGTGTTTTATTCCAGCTGAGCTTCAGTTTACCAACAAATTATTATGCTGCATGTGACTAAACCTTGACTGGCTACAATACTGGTTAAACCTGTAATGACTGCACTGAGTTTCTCCTGCAAAAGTCATTTTTAGGGGTCATACGAAGTAGAAACTGCTGCATTTGTAATTCTTTTAAAGCTTATGTCTTATACTATTTCGTTAAATGAGGTGGACCGTGTCATAAAATAAAATTCTATTGATTGCAGTGAATCACACTGGATGTGTGAAACACTAGAGAAGTGTTTGCCGCACTGAGCCTGCAGTTTGGTATCTCTCTGGAGATGAAGCCATGTGGGTCTCTGTGTTTCTCTAGTGTTTATGTGGTGGTCCTGCAGCATCGAATCCCCCCCCCCCCCCCCCCGGGATCCCAGGGGCCTGTCCCCAAACTTTATCTCTAATTAATATTGCCCCTCAACAACAACTTACAAAACACGGTCAGGCTATTACCACTACTGCAGTGGTTATTATGAGTGAAAAATATCAAGTTCAACAGCAGTCGGAGTGCTTTCAAAGCATCCTGTGAGTTAAGACATCAAGGCAACACTAAACGGGGTCAATGTTCTGGGAGACTGGACACTTGACCTGCTTTTATATGCTAATTAGGTACATGTACATTCACGTACAAGTCCCATATGGCACAGGAGGAGATCTGATAGAATAAGAGCAACTGAGTCACCACCGCAGGCACTTTCAGACACCTGTGTGTGTGTGAGCGAGCCTCTGGCCCCATGAGACTGTGCTCGTCAAGGGGCTGTAGTTGGCAATCCGTGTTATTTTGATGTGTGTGTGTGTGTGTGTGTGTGTGTATATGTGCAAATGTGGTCGACATATGGAAGTCATGAGGAGGAGGGAGTACAACTGGAGATGGACCTGAACAGCTGTGTACACATTACATACATCTGTTTTAGAGAGAAAACTCAGTGTGATCTAAACGGTGTGTGTGTGTGTGAACTCTTATGTAAGGAGGAAGTGCAACTTCTCTTGCTTTCCATCAAGTTTCCAAGGAAATAACCTACTGATGTATCTCATGGCAAAGCATTTCTTCATGTGTTGCATTTTACTGGATTTCTGCTAATTAAGATGTTTGAGAAGCCAATTACAGTAAATATCATCTTCCTATGCCTCCCTAATTACAGATAGAGGAGGTGGAAGGATTTGAAAAAGAATAACAGTCCTTTATAAAATATTTGTCCTTTCATCTTAAGGGTTTGTTTGCAGACCTTATTTGCATACTCTAGCAGTCGCCAAATGAAAAACAGGAATCTAAATGTGGGTTTTTAATTATATTTTAAACTCAGTTATTACTAGAGCAGCAATTAGGCCTCACAAAATATTACGAACATTTTTTATAATCGCTTTGTTAATAAACTTTGTCAAAGGTTTTATTCGGCATTTATCTGAAATGAATTTGAATCTGCACTCATAAAAAAAGTAATGTTTTTATTAGCATTGATGGTTCCATGAAGAACCTTTAACATCCATGGAACCTTTCCATTAGTTCTCTTAAAAATAAAGGTTCCAAAAGGTGGCTTTTATAGCAATTCAGTAGAAGAACCATTTTTGGTTACCTCTTTCAGTGAACACTCAGTTCTTAAAAGAACCATTTTATCTTAGTATGAATAATCTAAAGAACATTTTTTCCACTATAAATAACCTTTTCTCAATAGCAAAGGAGGTTCATTGGATGTTAAAGGTTCCTCATGGAACCATCAATGCCAATAAAGACCTTTTTTTTTTTTTAGAATGTAGTGGGGAAAGTTATCTTTAGATTATCAAAAAGTTCTTCACACTAAGGAAAAAAGGGTTATTTTATATGAACTGTTCACTGAAAGGTTCTTTGAGGAACCACAATGGTTCTTTAATGTGAAAGACCCCCTTTTGGAACCTTTATTTTTAAATGTGTACTATGTCTAAATATTTTTGTCCATAGAAATACCTATACAAATTTTAAAGCTTAAAAGCGATGGTTCACCCAAAAATAAAAATTGTATTCACTCACCTTCATGTCATGTCCTGTCAGTCCCATTTGATGATGTCTAAGCTGTTGTGACATGTTTTAAATATTTAAAAATATATCTTATATATTTAATATATCTATATAAAATATTTTGTGTGTTTGTTTGTGTGTGTGTTTTGTAAGGAAATAGTCATACAGGTTTTCAAACAACATGAAGGTGAGTAAATAATTTAATTTTTTTATGTAAACTAACCTCTAATTTGTTATTCTAGTCTGTACATACTGTAATATAAGAATAAAAACAACACCATCTCTGATAAAGAATAATTAACATGAGTCCTTAACAAAGAGTGGCATAACCTTATACCCATAATTCAACTGACTGCAAGATTGCACCGTTTTAGCTTATGTCTGCTGCTTAATTTGGAGGAAAGATACTAATGAGGGTGTTTTCAAGAAAACAGTGAGCAATCTCTACATCCTCTGAAAGTCATGAAATGATTAATTTGCCTCCCTCCCTCTCTGCCCCTCTCTCTTCATCTCTCTCCTTCTCTCATTCTGTATTCTGCCGGTGCGTTGCACTTATTGTATGATAATACTGAAGGTAGATTGTTGTGCTATCTTGTCTACAGTCCATATATAAATGTTAATGTCATCTGTGCATGACTCAGGCACACACACATACACAGTGCAGAGCACATTTCACGTTTGTTGCAAAAGATGATGCAAGAGCGCTGTTAAATTCAGTCACTGAGCATTTCCATGGATATAGTGAGCACATTATAATCAGTTCTCCTTTAGTTTAGCTACTTATGTTCACCCACAAATGAAAATATAGTGATTATTTACTCATCCTCATGTTTTTTCAAAGATATATGACTTTAATTTTTCTGCCGAACACAAAAGATGATATTTCACTGTTCGACTGCTGTTTTTGTTTTTTCCTTCATAAAATGAAAGCATGGAAGACCATGAACAGCTACAGTATGGTAACCTTTTTCTTTCATTATACATTATGAAATATTTATGCTATTAATGATGTTAAAGGGGTCATGTGATGCTGCTAAAAATAACATTATTTTGTGTATTTGGTGTAATGAAGTGTGTTTATGCGGTTTAAAGTTAAAAAAAACACATTATTTTCCACATACTGTACATTATTGTTTCTCCTCTATGCCCCGCCTTTTTGAAACGCGTCAATTTTTACAAAACTCATCGGTCTGAAAAAGCGAGGTGTGCTGTGATTGGCCAGCTATCCAGTGCGTTGTGATTGGCCGAATACCTCAAGCGTGTGATGGAAATGTTATGCCCCTTACCATACTGTGATGCCCTGTCCGGCCAGAGCGACGAGACAAAAACATTAAAACCCATTACAAACGAGGCATTTGTTGCATCCAGTGGGGACATAATTACTGATTATAATGACTTATACTATATTTTTACGCATTGCGTTGCATTGCATTGCATCGCATCATGCCGCATAAACATAAAACCCTGTCTGCATTTGTGATCAGAGAAATGACAAACAACAAGTGCTATTCCACACTGCCCAAAACTTGTGTTTGAATCATCAGTGGCAAATGATAAAACAAAACGTATTTACGTGAGTCAGAACTGCCGGCATTTTAGTCTAACGTTACTCTCCCAGGATCAGTAAACAGTCCTCCATAAAATGTGCCGGCGATCCACAGCACTAAGTTGATGTATTCCCTCAGCGACCAGCACAGATCAGCTCTAGGCATGACGAAGCGGATATCGTCCTCTTTTGGAAGGCCAAACAAAGTAGTTTCGCTTTCACAACGAAAAACACAGCGGCCTAGCGTGAGCGAAAGCCCCGGTTTAGCGTGAGCTGAAGCCGGGCAAGAGTGAGCTGAGGTGGCGGGGTCGAGGACAGTGGTCCCGGCGAAGGAGCGGTGAAAACGGTGAAAGCCGATCCGGCGATCCACAGCACTAAGTTAATGTATTCCCTCAGCGACCAGCACGGATCAGCTCCAGGCATGACGAAGCGGATATCGTCTTCTTTTGGAAGACCAAACAAAGTAGTTTCGCTTTCACAACGAAGCACACAGCATCTTCAGTACATGGCGGCAGCGGCAACAATACTACAGCGAGAATAAAAGTTACACCTTCTTTCTTTGCGTGAACATTTGGGCGGCGTTATGCAAACCTTCCCACATAGTGAGGTAGACATGTGGGGGCGTGTTCGAATGAGCCATTTTAGGTAGGCGTGGCTGACTCTTAACTTTTATAAAGAATATCTCTTTGGATTTGAGACTTTAGTCTTTGCAAATTTACAGATCTTCTTAATGCACCAAGAGCTTGTAACACTCCAAAGAGAAAGGAAAAATTTAAATCGCATCATATGACCCCTTTAATAATAATGATGATGGTAATACTAATAATATAAAATATATTTAAATTAATACTACATATATGTTTTATATATATAATGTTTAATATCTAATTAATGTATAATATTAATTAGCATACATTTATATATATTTATATACATTTCTATATTTTGTTGGATTATGGTACATTGTCATTATTTTTTTTAATAAACATATTTAAACACACTTTGTTTGGTTTGGACTCTGTCTTTGTTTGGTTTGGACTCTGTCGTCTTAAGTCACCGCAAGTAGTTCAAAGAGTGGCCCTACTAACTTTCACTTCTGTTAGAGGATCTTCTGACTTTTTGATGTATGCAAAGAAGATAGTAGATGTTTATAAAATGATAATAAATGTTCAAAGAGGCAAACACTTCTTGCTTCTGATGCTAAATGTATAGTTTTTAATATATACAGTACTATATAAAAAAAAAAGATATATACACGTATTTATATATATATATATATATATATATTATATAAAATATATATTTTATTATTTTCTCCAGTCATGATATTTTCTGTGTGCATATTCCGAAAACTTCACTAACATTCATTCAGAAAATGTAAAAACGTAAATAGTTGCAAGTGAGTTAAACCGCTCTGTATCTATCCATAAAAAAACATTGTTGCAACTTTCTCATTTTCCACGGATGAGATTGCGCTTTTAGCTTCACCATTAGCATCTAAATGTGTGCGTGTGTGTTTGGGGAAATGGGTTTCCTTTTTCCTCATTACACATACTCCTATTGTTGCTTCTGCAGAATAATGTATTCCAGGGGATGATGAAAGTCATTGTAGCATTAACGATTTTTTTTTTGTGGCTTTTAGGTCAAGACCATCTTTTGCCTGAAGCAGAAGAAATGGCTATGATTAGTATACAGCTCGCTGCTAGGTTTCTCTTCAGTACTGGATTCCACACCAAGAAAATTGTCCGTGGCCCTGCTAGTGATTGGTAAGCATGTGATTTCTGAGTTTCAGGCATATGCTTGCCTGTGTTCTTCAACTGTTAGTTGATCCTCGTTTCTTTTATTTCAGGTATGATGCTCTGTGCATCTTGCTACGGCACAGTAAGAATGTGCGCTACTGGTTTGCACACAACGTCCTCTTTGCATATCCGAACCGCTTCTCCGAGTACCTGCTTGAGTGTCCCAGTGCCGAGGTTCGAGGAGCCTTCTCCAAACTCATTGTATTTATTGCACATTTCTCCCTGCAAGATGGACCCTGCCCTTCACCCATTGCTTCACCTGGACCTTCAAGTCAGGTACGTCTCGTCAATCTAGGCTTCCCTCATTGACGGGAAATCAGGGAATGTCTAAAATTTGGAACTCACTGCACAAGGTTCTTATACGTTTTACATTATTTGTCCTTTTGTCTCAGAGCTGTGATAATTTGAGTTTAAGTGAGCACTTGTTCCGTGCTGTACTTAATCTGCTGAGAAGGGAAGTGTCTGAGCACGGCCGTCACCTGCAGCAGTACTTCAACCTTTTTGTCATGTATGCCAACCTTGGTAAGGACCACTCGCCACCCTTAAGGCCTCCATTCATATGGGCTTGCATGCTATAGTGCTGTCCTGTCTCACTCCATTTCTTTCTCTCAGGCTTGGCAGAGAAGACGCAGCTGTTGAAGCTCGGGGTACCAGCTACCTTCATGCTTGTGGCTCTGGATGAGGGGTCCGGCCCTCCCATTAAGTACCAGTATGCTGAGCTCGGAAAGCTCTATACTGTCGTCTCGCAGCTGGTTCGCTGCTGTGATGTGACATCACGTATGCAGTCCTCAATCAATGGTGAGAATTTTATACATTGCTGCAAAATGTGTGCATTCTGATAACAAAATGGTCTGTAGGCTTTCACATGTAGTTTTGGTCCCCATTGCCCAATGAAGATGCTCATCCTTGCTCAGGACTTACTGACTGACACAAAGCCATCTCCAGGCGTGAGTGCCAGGTTGGCATTGCTTGGAGCTGAGGGCATTTACAGAGAAACAAGCAGAAAAGCACTTTTTATTTATTTATTTTTGTCAAGCCAATACAACCTTCAAATACGTAGTGTTTCAACATCATCCATTATGCTTTAGAAGCTTGATCTATTGACACCAATTATTTGCATGCAAAAAGAAAATTTTCCTCCCCTTCTTCCCAGACCACCAGCCAGGGTATGAGCTGATATTTCCACATGTTGACATTTTTAGGAA